GTATATATATATATTTTTTATATATATATATATATATATATATATATATATATATATATATAAGTTTAATCTCATTTTTTTACGTGAACTTAGGAATCTCCATTACATGATGTTACAAACTATAGTTTTAACAAAAAAATAGCGAAGCTAAATAGAGATAAATATCGTCGAGAAATTTAAGAATAAGTTTAAAATCTACGTCAAATAAAATAAGAAAATAAAAACTCATAAATTTATTGTAAAATGTTCAATTTTTTATTTAGTTTGAAGTCATGTTTCATAAAATCCATCAAATATTTACAATTCATGGAATATTTTGAGCATAACAATGACCGTGACGGAGATTCAGCACAATAATTGGATTAAGAAAAAAACAAACATGTTACTGGTGATAATTTGTTGACTGAAAACGGTGTTGGAAGAAATTAACGTTCAATTCACATCATCTCTTCGGGTCTTCCGTCCTCGTAGACTTTATGCTGCAATAATGACACCATCAAGTTCTTACTCTTTCTACTGCCAAAGCATGTTAGATTTAGTAAACCAAACACAAAAATAGAAGAAAGTCAAAGTGGAAGATTCTGTTATCCAAACAGAATATAATTTATTTATTCGATCTCTTCCTGAATTTGCCATAACAGATTATAGCACATGAAGATGAGGGCAGAAGGGTTCCTTAACATGAATACGGTAGCGGTGGTGGCGTGGTTGTTGAACTTCAACATCGTTTTTTGTTTTGCTCATATTCATGGCTTCGGGGACCAACCACTCTCCAAGATTGCCATTCATAAAGCTGTTGTGTCTCTCCATTCTGCCGCTTCCATCACTGCCACACCGTCGCTTCTCGGTACGAAGGTACCAACATTTTCCTTAAACTTATTTAATTTAGCAAGAGAACCGTCAAGAATACAACTTTTTTTATTGGTTCAATTTTGTTCGAAGTTATAAAATCACGATAAATACAATTTGTATTAAATTTCACTGAACATTTGAAAGTGAATGCAAGAAAGAGGAAGGTCAACAAGTGTAGCATAGGTTGTGAATACCTTTTTTGTTTTTATAAAAATCTCATTATCATAACATGACAGATAAAAAGTCCGTTTAGTTTGGTTGAATGTGAAATTTCCAACCATTTAATTTCTGCTGTCTTTAAGTTTGCTCATTTGTAATTTGATGTGTACGATTTCAGGGTGAGGATACCCAATTGGTGACAGTAGATATTGATTACCCAGAACCATCTGCAGATGATTGGATTGGAGTTTTCTCTCCTGCAAAGCTCAAGTAATAACTACACATCTTCTCTTGATGAACTTTATATTTGAATATCGCATAGAAGTTGGAACTCAACTCTGAACTTTACCAAGCACTGTTCCTCAATAATTGAAAATTTCAAATCTAGTTATGTCAAAAGCCTGTGCTTATAATTGTTGTTAGAAGAACTAAAAGAGAGTCTTATTTTCTTATGACAGTTCATCAACATGTCCACCTGTGAGTGATCCCAGAGAAGAGATTCCGTACATATGCTCAGCCCCAATTAAGGTATGTGTCATAGATCTATGATTGAATTAAAATGCAGGTTGGATTTATTTTGTAAGTGATGCATTTCTCATGTTGTTTGTATGAAACTTTGTACCAGTTCAAGTTTCTGAATTACTCCAACTCACACTATACAAAGACAGGAAAAGGTTCTTTGAAGTTCCAGTTGATCAATCAACGTGCAGATTTCTCCTTTGCTCTATTTTCAGGAGGACTATTAAATGTGCTTACAGACCCTTTCAGCTGTTCTTATATCTGTTATCTCCCTCCCATTCTTACTAAATGTATATGATTTTTTGGCTGACTTGGAGTCATCTGATTGAACAATGCAGCCTAAGCTTGTGGCAGTTTCCAATTTCATATCATTTGTCAATCCTAAGGTGCCTCTATATCCACGACTTGCTCAGGGGAAGTCTTGGGATGAAGTAAGTTTATCCTTCATATGATTTCTCCTATTTTGGCTTTGCGTCAGTGTTACAATTCCTATATACGAAATGAAGCACAAAACTAGCAAGTATCCTAACGAAACATGTATAGATTTAATAGATTTTGAGCATAACCCTCGAATGATGAATGATCTCATTAAAATTGATAATTTGACATGACATTATGGAAATAGGAATTGATTATTTTCTTCTTTCGCACTCTGGAAACACTATTACGACAACGAAATGATTTCAGAATTATTCGCCTGTCTTATGCAGATGACAGTTACCTGGACTAGTGGATATCACATAAATGAAGCTATACCGTTTGTTGAGTGGGGTTCTGAGGGTAAAACACAAGTGCAATCTCCTGCCGGAACATTGACATTTGGTCGTAACAGCATGTGTGGTATGGTTTATTTGGTCGTAATGCCATCGCACAACCCTTTTTGTACTACTCCATGCTGGTCTGATTTAGTTAATATTTTTCAGAAACCTAGATGCAAAATGATTTTTTGCTTAGCATTATGTATATTGTCTAAACCCTTACTAGGAGCCATCATGAGCATTAATCTATAATCTAGTTATACAAAAACTGTCCAGAGGTTGACTTATGCAGCATCGTGTCAAACATTTCCACCCTGTTTTGTTATTCTTTCTTTATCTGCATTTTTATTAAAATTAGCTTGTTTTTTCACTTTGAACCTTGACCATGCAAAACATGGGTTTTGAAACTGAATAAACTGAAATCTGATGGTTTATTCTCTACTGCCCCTTCTATAATGCTCATCATAAGGTATCTTGAAAACACACTAAGGAGAACAAGCTTCTGTTTCTGAAAATTATACTAGAGTAGCATCATGTCAAATGGAGGGTGGGAGGGTAAGAAACAAAGAACTGAAAATCTAAGTTTAAATAGAAGTATTTTTCGGTAAGCTTAAGTCCGTAACCAGTAATGATTTTCCTGTTTCAATAGCCATCAAATCTCACTTTTCATGATTTCTGTACAATTTGCTACATTTCATCACATCACCAAAAGCTTACTACCAAAAGAGTTGTAATTCTTCTGCAACTGGAAGCAATTAAATGTTAATTTTGTCTTAGTTATATGTTGGAAACTCATATCCAGATTGCTGCATTTTATTCTTTTGAAAATGGATCTTCTTAGGCTTTACGTATAGCATCATAATGTGGTTCTTTGGTTATTCTCACTTGCAGGTTCACCTGCACGAACTGTTGGCTGGCGTGACCCTGGTTTCATACATACAAGTTTTCTAAAAAACCTTTGGCCAAACTTAGTGTATGCATTCAGATATCCAATTCTTTTAATAACACAATGAGGAACTAGAAAGATTTGTTCTGAAATTTTTTAAAATTTATATATCGCTTCAGGTATACCTATCGATTAGGGCATCTACTGTCTAACGGTTCTTATATTTGGAGCAAGAAATATTCATTTAAGTCATCACCTTATCCTGGACAGGACTCACTGCAACGTGTTATCATATTTGGTGACATGGGAAAGGTAATGTTAATTTTCAAAATAAAATGTATATAAAAAAGAATACTCTAAAAACTGTCTTTTAAGAGGAAGAACTAAGTCTGCTCTAACCAAGTGCAATCTTTAGGCGCATTATGAACAAGGTAAGCATATTTACCTTTGATGGATTTATCAAGAAAAATAACCCAACCATCTTTTCTTATTTGATCATTGTTAGAAGTCATACATTGACTATAAATGGATACATATATCATCTTACAAACTGATTTTATAGGATTGAGTCACTTTTAAAGTTCAAGACGGTGTCAGTTTAGAATTACATAGGTTAAATAGTAATTAGCCTTTTTAGTAAATAAAGTCATTAGTTGCTTTCTTGTCGATCTGAGATGTCTCCATTTGGTCCCAATTGTTTCTTTTACTGACCCTTGTTTTCTGTTGAAGCACTATTTTTCAATTTCCTCTGCAATTGATTGATCTATTCCAGCGCTTCTTTCAATGCTGCCATCATTTATTGACTTTTGCCCAAGTAACTTCAGTGGCTTGATTTCCCATGTTGCCTTCTATGCTAAATTTCCTTCTTTTTTTGTTTTGTGGGATAGAGGAGTGGGCCTTCTTTCCTTGGAGGACTCAACACAAGTCAATTATGTTATGCTAAGTAATGTAACCATGGAATTGAAAATTTGGAATTCATGTAAATTTCTGGCTAATGAATGGCTAAATGATCATGTTAAAATGATAAAGTTGCAAGGTGAGTGTTGAGAATAATTACCGATAAAAGCATTGGATTTTCTTTCATTTTGTTTCAGGCCGAGCGTGATGGTTCAAATGAGTATAATGCCTATCAACCTGGTTCGCTTAACACCACTGACCAGCTCATCAAGGATTTAGAAAATATTGACATTGTTTTCCACATAGGAGATATAACTTATGCAAACGGATACATCTCGCAGTGGGACCAATTCACTGCTCAAGTGGAGCCAATTGCATCAACAGTACCTTACATGATTGCCAGGTTTTGTCTTGTTGACCACAACTTGTATTTGCAAGTAAATTAGATTCATGTGTTACTCATATATTGAACTAGAATTGTCTGATAATCCTGCAGTGGTAATCACGAACGTGATTGGCCCAACACAGGATCCTTTTATGACACTACAGATTCAGGTGGCGAATGTGGAGTTTTGGCCCAGAACATGTTTTTTGTTCCAGCAGACAACAGAGCAAACTTTTGGTACACTCAGTTCCATGAAAAACAAATCAAATTTTAGGGAAAATCTTCTTCTTTTATCAAAAGCTCTGTTAGAACTATACTGATTGCAAAGCTATTTTAATTGCACTATAAGCTAATTGAAACGCATCAATGTGAACTTTTATGGATATTATAAGAATGATGTTGCACATATCACTACTAAATTTAATTATGTTTTAGATGAATAAGTCTTATGTTACCGAGGAGGTCGAGTTGAATTAATTTAAAGTCGGTGAGAGAGGTTTTCATAAAATGACTCATGACTAGGAATGTTTTACTTCTGATATTCTAAAGTGAACAACTGAGTTATATACAAAAGAGTGTAGTCTGTGATTCTAAGGATGAATTGTAATTATTTTTCGTGTTTGATATATATAAAAAATGAGATTCTGAATATCTAGGTACGCGACGGATTATGGCATGTTTCACTTTTGCATAGCTGACAGTGAACATGATTGGAGAGAAGGAACAGAACAATACAAATTCATTGAGCATTGCCTTGCAACAGTAGACAGACAAAAACAACCCTGGTTGATTTTTGTGGCTCATCGTGTGCTTGGATATTCTTCTAATACTTGGTATGCCATGGAGGGATCATTTGAAGAACCCATGGGAAGGGAAAGTTTGCAGAAACTCTGGCAGAAATATAAAGTAGATATTGCATTTTATGGTCATGTCCATAACTACGAAAGGACATGCCCCATATATCAGGTAAAGATAATAGCCTAATATGTCATGACTTTATTTAAATCCAAACTAACTTGCACAGTTGAAAAGTTAATGATTTGTTACTTTCNGTTAATTTTGTCTTAGTTATATGTTGGAAACTCATATCCAGATTGCTGCATTTTATTCTTTTGAAAATGGATCTTCTTAGGCTTTTCGTATAGCATCATAATGTGGTTCTTTGGTTATTCTCACTTGCAGGTTCACCTGCACGAACTGTTGGCTGGCGTGACCCTGGTTTCATACATACAAGTTTTCTAAAAAACCTTTGGCCAAACTTAGTGTATGCATTCAGATATCCATTTCTTTTAATAACACAATGAGGAACTAGAAAGATTTGTTCTGAAATTTTTTAAAATTTATATATCGCTTCAGGTATACCTATCGATTAGGGCATCTACTGTCTAACGGTTCTTATATTTGGAGCAAGAAATATTCATTTAAGTCATCACCTTATCCTGGACAGGACTCACTGCAACGTGTTATCATATTTGGTGACATGGGAAAGGTAATGTTAATTTTCAAAATAAAATGTATATAAAAAAGAATACTCTAAAAACTGTCTTTTAAGAGGAAGAACTAAGTCTGCTCTAACCAAGTGCAATCTTTAGGCGCATTATGAACAAGGTAAGCATATTTACCTTTGATGGATTTATCAAGAAAAATAACCCAACCATCTTTTCTTATTTGATCATTGTTAGAAGTCATACATTGACTATAAATGGATACATATATCATCTTACAAACTGATTTTATAGGATTGAGTCACTTTTAAAGTTCAAGACGGTGTCAGTTTAGAATTACATAGGTTAAATAGTAATTAGCCTTTTTAGTAAATAAAGTCATTAGTTGCTTTCTTGTCGATCTGAGATGTCTCCATTTGGTCCCAATTGTTTCTTTTACTGACCCTTGTTTTCTGTTGAAGCACTATTTTTCAATTTCCTCTGCAATTGATTGATCTATTCCAGCGCTTCTTTCAATGCTGCCATCATTTATTGACTTTTGCCCAAGTAACTTCAGTGGCTTGATTTCCCATGTTGCCTTCTATGCTAAATTTCCTTCTTTTTTTGTTTTGTGGGGTAGAGGAGTGGGCCTTCTTTCCTTGGAGGACTCAACACAAGTCAATTATGTTATGCTAAGTAATGTAACCATGGAATTGAAAATTTGGAATTCATGTAAATTTCTGGCTAATGAATGGCTAAATGATCATGTTAAAATGATAAAGTTGCAAGGTGAGTGTTGAGAATAATTACCGATAAAAGCATTGGATTTTCTTTCATTTTGTTTCAGGCCGAGCGTGATGGTTCAAATGAGTATAATGCCTATCAACCTGGTTCGCTTAACACCACTGACCAGCTCATCAAGGATTTAGAAAATATTGACATTGTTTTCCACATAGGAGATATAACTTATGCAAACGGATACATCTCGCAGTGGGACCAATTCACTGCTCAAGTGGAGCCAATTGCATCAACAGTACCTTACATGATTGCCAGGTTTTGTCTTGTTGGCCACAACTTGTATTTGCAAGTAAATTAGATTCATGTGTTACTCATATATTGAACTAGAATTGTCTGATAATCCTGCAGTGGTAATCACGAACGTGATTGGCCCAACACAGGATCCTTTTATGACACTACAGATTCAGGTGGCGAATGTGGAGTTTTGGCCCAGAACATGTTTTTTGTTCCAGCAGACAACAGAGCAAACTTTTGGTACACTCAGTTCCATGAAAAACAAATCAAATTTTAGGGAAAATCTTCTTCTTTTATCAAAAGCTCTGTTAGAACTATACTGATTGCAAAGCTATTTTAATTGCACTATAAGCTAATTGAAACGCATCAATGTGAACTTTTATGGATATTATAAGAATGATGTTGCACATATCACTACTAAATTTAATTATGTTTTAGATGAATAAGTCTTATGTTACCGAGGAGGTCGAGTTGAATTAATTTAAAGTCGGTGAGAGAGGTTTTCATAAAATGACTCATGACTAGGAATGTTTTACTTCTGATATTCTAAAGTGAACAACTGAGTTATATACAAAAGAGTGTAGTCTGTGATTCTAAGGATGAATTGTAATTATTTTTCGTGTTTGATATATATAAAAAATGAGATTCTGAATATCTAGGTACGCGACGGATTATGGCATGTTTCACTTTTGCATAGCTGACAGTGAACATGATTGGAGAGAAGGAACAGAACAATACAAATTCATTGAGCATTGCCTTGCAACAGTAGACAGACAAAAACAACCCTGGTTGATTTTTGTGGCTCATCGTGTGCTTGGATATTCTTCTAATACTTGGTATGCCATGGAGGGCTCATTTGAAGAACCCATGGGAAGGGAAAGTTTGCAGAAACTCTGGCAGAAATATAAAGTAGATATTGCATTTTATGGTCATGTCCATAACTACGAAAGGACATGCCCCATATATCAGGTAAAGATAATAGCCTAATATGTCATGACTTTATTTAAATCCAAACTAACTTGCACAGTTGAAAAGTTAATGATTTGTTACTTTCATTGTATGCTTTTCATGGTTTGCTTTTATAGCCTCATCAAATTATTGAAATGGTAATGGATGGTTGATTCATTGATTTTGTATAATTTAATAGAAACAGAAACAGAATAGTAGCGTAGAAGTATTGAGAACTGAGAGACAGAAAATATGCAGTAGTATTAAGAGAAAGAAAGAATAGTGTTTTTATACAAAGGAAACTAACTGAAAAAGAGTAACAGAAAAAACTAACTGGCTTATAACTAACAACTTGAATTATATATCCAATACACCTCCTTAATTCAAGTCACTTAGAGCTAATACACCTATTCCAGATCTGAGATATTCAAATCTGTCATGTTTGAGTGCTTTAGTGAATAAATCAGCCAGTTGTGATTCAGTTTTGCAGTAAACCAACTCCACTTTGCCTTTATTCACCATATCACGTAAGAAATGAAACTTCACATCAATGTGTTTGCTTCTTCCGTGGCTCACAGGATTCTTGGCCAAACTCATAGCAGATGTGTTATCCATCTGTAGCATGAATGGTTTTTCACTTTGCACCTTTAAATCTCTTAGAATTTCGTTCAACCACACACCCTGACATACTGCATGACAGCCAGCAACATATTCTGCTTCACAACTTGATAGAGCAACAATGGTTTGCTTCTTAGAACTCCATGATATAGGTGCTGTGTTCATGAAAAATATATTCCCTGACGTGCTTTTTCTCTCAATTTGATCTCCACCAAAATCTGAGTCAGTGTAACCAACTAATTCCAACTCATCCTTCTTCACCCCGTATGGAAACAAAATACCAAACCTAGCTGTTCCTTTAACATACCTTAGAACACGCTTAGCAGCAATCAAATGGTTCTTCTTTGGATTGCTCATGAATCGGCTTAACAAACCAACACCATACATCAGATCTGGCCTGCTATTACATAGATACCGCAAAGAACCAATGAGTTGCTTATAAGCTGTCTCATCCACACTTTCTTCGTTTATATCAGATTTTAACTTGGCATTAACCTCAACTGGATTCCTGGTAGTGTTACACTCAGTCATCTTAAATTTCTCCAACAAATCCTTCACGTATTTTGTTTGGTGCATCACTAAGCCTCCAGCTGTGTGCGTAAATTCCATTCCCAGAAAGTAGCTAAGCCTCCCAAGATCTGTCATCTCGAATTCTGCTTCCATCCTCTGCTTGAATTCTTCAATCCAATGTAGACTGGAACCCGTTACCAGCAGATCATCAACATACAAACATACGATCAGTATATCATCACCACTCTTCTTCACATACAGGCTATGTTCAACAACACATCTCTCAAGTCCATAGCTGATAAAGAAATCATCAATCCTTCTGTTCCATGCCCTGGGCGCTTGCTTCAGTCCATAAAGTGCTTTGAATAGCTTATACACTTGATGCCTCTTCTCTTTGATAAACCCTGGAGGCTGCTGTACATATACTTCCTCCTCCAACAAGCCATGCAAAAATGCAGACTTAACATCAAGAGCAAACAAAGACCAATTCTTAGCACATGCAATAGCAACAACTAAACGAATAGTTTCTAACCTTGCAACAGGTGCGTAAACTTCCTTGAAATCGACTCCTTGTTGCTGTAGAAATCCTCTTGCCACCAGCCTAGCCTTGTATTTTGAGATAGTACCATCTGGGTTAAGCTTAGTTTTGAAAACCCATTTAACTCCAATGCATTTTTTTTTCTGGTGGCAAATCGACCAGCTTCCATGTTTTATTCTTCTCGATCGATCTAAGCTCCTCCAACATAGCTTCCTTCCAGAGTGGTTGTGATAAAGCATCATCAACATTCAACGGTTCACTTCCGGCCATCAAAGCTAGGTGAATTATATCACCTTCTTCATCCACTCCAGCATCAGAATACATTTCATATTCTGTAAACCGAGAAGGTCTTACCACTTGTCTTCTCGGTCTCGTTGAAACCTCTGCATTATTGTTGTTGCTTCCAGTATTTCCAGTGGCTATCGGAGTATCCACCTTTTCTTCGATCTGCATAGGTATTTGTACTGCTGCTCTTGATTTCTTCATACTGGTTTGATTGCATTCCCAGTCCCAATTTTCATCTTCGAGAATCAATACATCTCTGCTGATGATCACCTTCTTCCTGATCGGATCAAACAGTTTGTACGCTCCAGTAGAATGATAACCCACGAACACCATTGCCTCTCCTTTGTCATCCAGCTTCGTTCTCTTCTGCTCTGCAACATGACAAAAAGCCAACGATCCGAAAATCTTAAAATGTTTAACAGAGGGTACAATACCTGACCAAATTGCATGTGGGACGTTGTCTGTCAACTTCTTTGTAGGACACCTGTTCAGAACGTACACAGATGTTGCCACTGCTTCTCCCCACAATTCACGCGGTACGCCCTTCTCTCTAAGCAAGCACCTGGCCATATTCATTATTGTTCGATTTCTTCTTTCGGCCAAACCATTATGTTGTGGTGTATAAGGGGCTATAATCTCGTGTACTATTCCATGTGCCTGACAAAACTCATCAAATTCACGCGATGTATACTCACCTCCACCATCTGTCCTGATCAACTTTATCTGCTTATCAATTTCTTTTTCAACACGATTTTTGAACCGCTTGAAAACTTCTAGAACATCACTTTTCAATCTTATGAAGTATACCCATATCATACGACTATATTCATCTACAAATGTAACAAAATATCGATTACCAGCTATGGTTGATATCTCAAGTGGACCACATACATCTGAATGAATTACTTCCAGACGTTCTTTAGACCTCATCTTCAAGTGTGTTTTGAAAGGTTTTCTCGTTTGCTTTCCTATGATGCATGATTCACAAGCTCTTTGGGGTATAGATATATCTGGTAAACCAGAAACTATTGTCTTTTTGCTTAACAATTGCAGATCTCTGAAATTCAGATGTCCGAATCTCAGATGCCATTTCCAATTTTCATCCACTTTTATAGTAGATAAACACTGCAGATTCTCAATTATATCCATATGAACCTTGAAGGTACGATTCTTAGAAATCTTGCTTTCCAGGACTAACCTTTTAT